TCCTACTATGTTCCAGACATTGTGAGGAAAATGATATAATTCTTCCTCTGAAGAGAACTATTTATACATGAAAACAACTTAAATTCCATCATAATTAGGGAGTGTCTCAGGATAAATGAAGAGCATGTATTATACACTCAGGCAAGAACTAGGTTTAAAATCCCAGGTCTAAAATTGAGTAGCTGTGTGACTGTGCCCTGAGCATCTTGAACTTCTTATCTATAAGTTGTGGATGATAAAAACCTATTTTCGGGGAACATTGTAAGGATTAAATGAGAAAATGCATAGTGCCTGGCATATAATGGGTACATGGTAAGGGAGATGAGAATAACTTCTTCCTACAGCAGGACTTCTCAAACTTCAACGTGCAGCGGGTTGCCTGGCAACCTTGTTAAGAAAGCAGATTCTGGTACAGTGGGCCTGGGTGTGACCAGAGATCCTGTCTTTCTAACAAGTTCCCAAATGATATCCATGCTGTTTCTCAGAGGACTGCAGTTTCTGTAGCAAGGAGTTAGAGATATTTTTTTTGTTTTGGTTTTATTTCTTAGGAGTTGATACTGGGGGCAAATCTTAAAAAAAAAAAAGAGAGAGAGAGAGAGAGTAGGTGCCATTAAAGAAGACAACAGACAGTGGAAAGAGGACACGCCAAGGAGAGAATGGAAATACGGGTCTTTCCAGTAACATAAGAAGCATGGGGCTGTGGAAGCCTGGAAGGTCATTTGAAGAGAGAAGTTTGGAATGAGAAAGAATATCAAGACATAGGGTTTCCCATGCCTTGCCAACGAGTTATTTATCCTGTAGGTAATGAGGGACTCACGGAAGGATTTAAGAATCTGTGAGTGATTTGATCAGCTATGAGATTCAGAAAGATTTTCCTGGAAACAATTAGAGGATGGGTTGGATGGGAGGGTGATTGGAATCAGAAAGGCATTGTGATATACTTGGTGAGCTATGAGCCACTGCAGCAAAGGCAGGATAAACTGAGAAGAAGTGGGGACTATGGAAGATGTCAGGATATGGAATTGACAAATCTTGGTCATTTATTTAGCTAGAGAGAGAGGAAATGAAGGTTTCTGATTTAGGTGACATCACACTCTAAGTAATTCGGGAGAAAGAGAAGAGTTGATGGAAAAGAAAATAGCTGAGTTTGGGAATATGTTAAATCTGGGCAACATACAAATGGAAGTATTTATTAACAAAGCTGGAGTTACAAGAGAATGTTTGGGAGCTGTCAGTGCATATTATGGTAGATAAAGTTAGGGAGGTAGGTTCTGTCATTGGAGGAGAACAGAGAGAAGTAAAAAAAAAAAAAAAAAAACAAGGACAGGATTGTCATGCAAATCAACATTAGGGGTGGGCAGAAGGAGAGAAACCCACTAGAGAGACAGATATAGAGAAGCAGATCAAGAGGACTGCTATTAGAAAAACCTGGGGATAGGAGATTGTCTAGAAGAAATTAATCAGTTGTGTCAAATGCAGTTAGAAGTCAAGTAAATAAGGACTGAAAATTAGGAATTGGTGATATTTGCCAGAGTAGTTTCAGTGGGATAAAATAAAGGAAAGCCAGATGGTAGTAGGTTAAAAATGAATGGAAAATAAGAAAACATAGATTATAACATAAGAAATTTTTTTTCTAGAAGTTTGACCATAATGGGAAAATTTTAATAATTAGTATCCAAAAATAGCCTCAATATTGAGTGTTTCATTTGATTGATTGATTCATTCATTCATTCATCATCTTAAGCATACTTATGGCAGCTGAGAAGGAGTGCATAAAGAAAAAACATCTAAAAAATAGGTCAAGACAATGACTACTATAACAGTGCCCAGGAGAAGCAGCAAACATTCATTTAAGACTTGAGGATTCAGGTGGAAGTGGGCACCTGTGCAGATGAGCCACTCCAGATGTCACATGCTTGAGAGCCCGAGTTTGTTCTGTAACATGAAGGCAGGTTCATTGCGGAGCATTGAAGGTGCAACTGCAGTTCTCTAAACTCTGGGGCCTATTTTCAAACTTGGGTGGTTTTCTTGAGCAGTTCTTGACCCTCTGCTCATATTTTCTTTGATATTGTCCATGAATCTTGTTGTTGATACTTCAAAAAAATAGAGGAGCGTGTTTTTCATAAATAGAGTATCCTCTGATATTTGGATCTTTGGAATTCCAAATAGCAAGCTGGACTTCTTCCCTCTGCACTCCATTCATCTGGTTTTGCAGTCATCCAGAGGAGATAGAAATAGGAAGATGGATTGTGTGTGTGCATGAACATATGTTGCACTCTTTAGAGGTGATGACATACATAAAACCATCAAAGAAATCTTCCAAGGTTGCAGAATGAAAAATGTGAAATCTGCTACTTTTATTCATGTAGAAATTTTACTGAGTACCTACCTTCAAACTCTTTAATTCACATAGCTTTATGTGCCAAAATTCTTGTGTTCATTTCACCTAAATAATCATGAGTCTTCAACTTCCTACTCTAGTTCTCAGCTGAACATCATTCAACAATGAACTTACTTAAAATAGCGGTTAATATGCTTTGCTGACTATCAGAACAACAGGGCACGGGCTTTGGTTTTAGGCTTCAATCTTCAAGACATCTCTGCTGAATTCTGGAGTTCAAATGCAAGTAGAAACACAAATCAACCAGTTCAAAATCCTTGTTTTTGGGGGGAAAAGGAGGGAAGGAGGGGGGTGAGCAGAAGAAATATAATTTATAAAATAAATGTTCTAAATCTATTTTGAATTACATTAACTGGTAGAAAATATCATTTCAAATATTTTTGAGTGAATGGAAAAGCTCTAGGTGACCAATCTCAATTTGACCACTTCAACTTGTATTTTATATTTTAATTCAATTATCCCCTCTAGTAGTCTTCCATTTTCCCAGTTTCTTTACAAACCACTTCTTAAAAGCTAAACACTGCACAATATAGCTCAATAAAGTGGGGGCGGGGGGGAAAGGAAAAGAAAGAAAACTAAACACTGCAGTATTTAAATATACACAGGATTTCAATTCCTTAGATGTCTCGATAATTTGCCTGAACTACATACTGTTAAACTGATCTGTGACCTAGGGTGAGGTAAAGGAGTCAGGTGCTCTAGAAACAGTTTAAAAGGGGATTGTGCAATGTTTTTGCCTCCAGGTCAATGTGACTCTCCTGACTCCCTCAAAAATATCAACACCCAGCATTTTGAAGTACATCCAGGAAATTCCAGAGAATGTCAAAGGGCATATAGACCCTACGCTACACAAAAATGCTTTAAAGAACAAAAGTATTATTATTTTTTTAAATTCTCACCCAAGGATATTTTTTTCCAATGATTTCTAGAGAGAGTGAAAGGAAGGGAGGAGGGGGAGAAGGAGAAAGAGAACGAGAGGGAGAGAGAGGGAGAGAGAGAGAGAGAGAGAAAGAGAGAGAGACATTGATTGGTTGCCTCCCGCATGCATTCCTACCGGGGCTGGGGAACCTACAATAGACTTAGGTGCCCTTGCTGGGAATCGAACCCTCAGCCCTTATCAGGCCAATGATCTAACCACTTAGCAAAGCTGGCCAGGGCAGAATAAAAAATTATTTAATCTAGAACTTAAGGAAATCAAAAGTGGTTTGTATTATTATATTTTCATATGCAAGTGAGAGACACCAGTTCAAAACGGTTTAAGAAAAAAGCGGATGTGTTGGTGCAGGAGCTCAAAGTCTGCTGTCAGGACTTAGTCTTTCTCCATCTATTGGTTCTGCCCTTCTCCGTTGGTTTTCTTGTCAACTTGATTCCCCTTTGCTTGGGCAGCAGCACACTTAGCTCCTATCATCCTAGCAACCCTAGTGAAAAAAGAAGAATCTAGTCTTCCAACATTTCCAACAAAATTCCTGGACTTACCGGCGGTGGATGACGTGGCTTTGGTCAAATTCCCACCCTCAGCCCTGGAGAAGACAAGGTTGAAGGAAAAGTAGTTGTTTAAGAAAAACATTTGTGCTATTTCCACAAAGAGAGGAATGAATCCAACGGCAGGCAGGTAAAAACAACAGACGCCCTTCACTGCCTTCAAGTTATGTGGTAGGCTCTCATGTGGATAAGGGGATAAGCTTCTAGGGGGCCCCAGAAATGAACTCTACAGAAAAGCAGATTTCAGCTCAGTCCCAAAAGGACCTTTTCACAGTCAGAACCATTAGCACTTGAAATAGACTGCCTCAAGGTGTGCCAAGTACCAGGCCTCTCCACGTGTTCAGGCACAGGCATCTGTCAGTAGCGTTGAGCAGGGAATTCCTGCATTAGGCAGAGCTTTGCCTGCATGACCCGTAAGTTCTACAATTCTATTATCCTTGTTAATTTCCACAATTCAATTTGCAGTACAGGATAAACAAACCAACCTAATTTGATCTGGAAATTCTGCAGGCTATCACAGGTCATTTAATCTAAAACACATGGCTCCAGCCATTACCATGTTTTCTGAAGTCATCTAACAGACGTGGTCCTTAACAAGGTCTCCATGTTATTAGTTTCACTTATGGCTTTTTCCAGCCTCCTGCTTATTACACAATTGCCTTTCATTCTTAAGATTGGGTGGGGAGAAGCATGAAAGACTTTTCTTCTTTCTGCCTTTTTTCCTCTTAAACTTTATAATAGGCAAGTCCCAGTTAAAATTACACTGCTTACATCTTTACCTTCAAATTTGGCTTTCACTTTGCAGGTTTAAGAATCTATGAGAAATGGGAGCAGAGGCCCTGGGTAATTATAGGTCTGGACAAAGTTTATTAAGGCAAATTTTCAAAGAAGAAAGAGTGAGATTTTTAAATTTGATATTAAATTGTAAAGTCAATTTAAAATACTGCAATGTGGTTAGAATTAGAGCACCAAGCCACTTGACCCAGACTCATGAATAAACACATTTGTGTTAAGTAATATTTGTTTCTTTCACAACTAAAAGCACCCCACAAATAAAACTTTGTTTTGCCAGAGTATGTCCATTTTGAATAACTGATATTTTTCTTGTCTTTTTCAGTGAACGTTGTGTCGATGTTGCAGGAATTCTGGGAAAGCAAGCAGCAGCAGAGGGCTGCATTCCCCAGTGAAGGTGTGGTGGTATATGAGTCACTGCCATCTCCTGGGCCTCCCTTTGTGAGTTATGTGACCCTTCCAGGGGGAAGCTGCTTCGGCAACTTTCAGGTAAGAAGCAACCATACGTTGGTCAGTGAAAGTTAAAATAGAGTAAGCCCTTTAATAAAATGGCAACATTGTAAGTTTTCTTGGTTGCAATGAAAAAAAGCTGTGTCATATTCCATTATATATATGTACCAGAGGCCCAGTGCACGAAATTTGTGCAAGGGGCTCGGCCCTCGCAGCCTTGGCTTTGTCCAGAAGGTTGTTCTGCTTTTCGTCTAATTAGCATATTAGCTCTTTATTATATAGGATGTGTGTGTGTGTGTGTGTGTGTGTGTGTGTGTGTGTGTGTGTGTATATATATATATATATATATGAAAATTGGTCAGATATTTCAATTTTTTAAACTGGAAATATTGTACATTAGGGTATCCCCTAATAATTCTTTATTGAAAGTGAATTTTACAGCATTTTATTTGCCTGATAGTTGCTGCCTTTTTCCCAGAAAATATTTTGGAATATACCTTAAAGAACAAAGGAACTTTGGTAAAGTCCTTCCATCATGACCCTTCCACCAGTAGATAGTGTCCACTTTCCTGAATTTTGTAATCAAGTACTAATCAATCTACTACATGCCAAAGCATGAACCAACAGCAAAGATTAAGATTTATAGGGCTGGGCTCAGGCACTTGTGCTAAGTTCAAATTCTGTCTCTAAATAACTGTTAACTCTTGGGAAATTGATTTAACTCCTTGATCTCCTCAACTTTGAGATGAGGAACAATATCCACAGGATTGGTCAGGAGTCATGAGATATACATGCAATGTGTTTATTTAGTATTCCAATTGTTTTGATAATTATTAGAAAGACTTCAGGTGGTTGAATCTTTATGATGTTTATGAGGGGTGTAAATGATGATTCATTTCTAGTTGTACACCTACTCACACAAAAACATTGGCCTAATCAACATCTGGTTATCAAGTGTGTGTAACAAATACTCACTGAGTGACTAGGAAGTATCCAGCATCAGTCCAAGTAATGAGGATATGGTTCACACCTTGAGGGAATCAATGTACAAAATATTATAGTAACTACATAGGATTGTGTTTGAGGGTCAATAAAAGCATAAAGGAAGGAACTTCTCAGTTTAGCAGTCACCTTTGTAAGTGCCTTTTTAGTACAGTAAACTATCTCTCAATTTGCAATAACTGGCAAAACGCCTTATTATAGTTTGTGGAAAATGTGAAACTCATAAACATTTAAGTTTCCCTCTTACCTTTGACAAGCAGGAAGCCCAGAGTCAACTTTTCAGTGTATCTCTTTGTAGTGTAAGTCTACAGAACTCCATGTCATGTAATACTTAATATTATTTATATTTCCACCTCTAGTGTTCCTTTGAACTTAGTATGTCTCACTTATTTTATCCTATTACCATGTATCTGTTTTATGCTATTTTACATATTTTGTGGAGTGAGGAGAGAATATAGTTTACATAAATAGACCCACAAACCTGACGCCTAGGGAAGCCAAAGAAGGGTTCATGAGGAATGCAATCACAAGCCAAGATCTGCAGTTGAGGGTGTCTTTGCCAGTAGGTAAAGGAGAGATGACATCCTCAGCATAGAGAATGGTGAATGCAAGGGCATGGAGTGACAAAAACCACACCCACTTTCAGAATTTTGGGAGTTTTCCTTTGTCTGTGGCAGGGAAGTGGTGGGAGATGATGGTCAGATACCCATATCAAACCATAAGGGATCTTCATGCTTTGTAAAGGACAACAGGTTTTATTCTATATAAAATCAGCACCTGAGCAGGAGAATGATATATTCACATGTGTTTCAGAAAGTATTCTGGCAGTAGTAGTAAGAGGTAATTTAAGGCTAATTTAAAAACTGCTTTCAAACCTGCTGACCCAGCCAGCCAGTGAGGTCTTGCCTTCTACCTTGAGCAATAGTCACCAGTGGATTTTGACCTCTGGTCAATGAAAGTGAATTGCTTGATGAGAATGATGTGAAAGTGGGTCTAGAAGCCTCAGAACAGAGCTTGTTGTAACCCCAGACACTTAGACAAGAAAGACAGGCAGGGGAGGGGAAAGAAAGGCAGCCACTGCAGAAGGGATTCTCTAACCCATGTGGCTCTGTAGTACCATCTTCAAATGTTCTAAGGTGAAACCTGCCCACAGTAAAGTAATAGTCTCCATCAGACTTCCTGTTTCAGGGGAGACCTCCTCGGGAAACAGACCTACTCACCACCGAGTGGGCTTTTGAGAGCCACCTAAACAAATCAGTTTCTTTGTCCATGAATGTCAGTGGACTAAAGATCACTAAACATTTGAGGAAAGCTAAAAGAATAAGAGAAAAGTTCAAGGCAAGCAAACAAAAGAACAGAAATAATTCAAGTAGCGAAGGACATAAGAGAGTATCACAATGAGTATCCTCAAAAAATTGTGAGAAGCTATTTATCCCTAAAATATCCTATATAATAAAAGGCTAATGTGCAAATTGTCCCCTTGGGAGTTCGACCACTTGCTGTGACATGCGCTGACCACCAAGGCACAGCGCAGAATGAAGGAAAGAAGGCCCTGGTCAGCAGCCAGAAGGCTCTGATTGGCCCTGGCGCCAGCCAGGCCTAGGGACTTTACCCATGTATGAATTCTGTGCACCGGGCCTCTAGTCTATGATAAAAGAAGTAAGTAGGGAACAGGAAATTTAAAATATGACTGCCAAACTAGAAGAATAAATAAATAAAAGAGGAGTAAGTAGATGAGTGGACATAGATCACAGCCAAATTAGTAAAAGATAACAAAGTAAAAAAATAAATAAATAGTAAAGTAAGTCTTCTAGAACTTAGAGCACAAGACAAGAGATTAAAAAATATAGTACAGGAGACATGGGGATAAATCTGGAGGTAAACATCCTAAATAATAAATAGCTCATATGCTAATTAGACCAAACAGCAGAATGACCGACAGCCTTGACAACCATCCAGATGAAGCCAGGGCTGTGAGGGCCGGCCAAGGCTGCAGGGGTTCCAAAGACCAGCTGAAGCAGTCATGGCTGCAAGGGCTGAGCCCTTTGCATGAATTTCGTGCATCGGGCCTCTAATTAATTTAATATTAGTTCTAGAAAGAGATAAAGGAAATAGCTAGGTAGAAATAAATAATGGAAGCAATTTTCTTTGAGTTAAAGAAAAGCACAGATTTTTATTTTGAAATGGTCAATCATATTCCAAGCAGAACCAGGACAAAAGAATCACTTAGCTCTGTGACTGTGTAAGACTCAGCATTCTGCTTAAAAGATGGATCAGGGGACTTTATTTGATATAGCATTTGTACATTAATATAACCATGTGTTTGTTTTAACATAGACTGAATATACATGAGGGTAGCTTTGGTGGAGTTAATGAAGTAAGGCAAGAACTGACAAACCAGGTAAACAAAACCAAAAACTACTTGAAAAGATAAATAAGGAAGACAAGTCTTTGGCATTTCTGAGTAAGAAAAAAACCAACACATATACTACACTAAGCATGAGAAAAGGGATGCAATTATAGGAACATAATATAGGAATACTACATAAACAATTATATTTTTAAACATGAAAACTTAAATGATATTGAAATATCCTGAGAACTCTTTGTATTATCTTTGAAACTCTTCTATAAATCAGAATTCATTTCAAACTAAAAAGTTCTTTTTTAAAAAGACCTCAATAGTTCCCTATTACCTTCTTATTATACACTAAATTTTGTAATCTGTCAATAAAGATAATACGATTGTCCCTAACATTTTTTTCCAGCTTTATCTCCCTGAATTCTTCTCCTGACACTCAGTGATTCATTCTAACTGTTCTTCATTCTTGCCTTGACCTCTTCTGGCCCCTTACACACTCACACTGTGACCTGCTCGTGAGTGCTGTTGCCACCTTCTCTTCATGTCCAAACCCTGCCCAACTCCCAGGACTCCACTCAAATGTCACATCCCTCATGAATTTTCCCTGAACCCCGTGCTAGATTTCTCTACTTCCTCTGATTTCCCAAAGCAGTTATATCAGTTTCACTTCTAATATTTTATGGGTTTGTTTTTACCATAGGCTACAGCTATGCATGTTCTATCTCTATAACAAAATGTAAGTGCCTCGGGGACAGGGTCTGTATTCTTATATCTCTATAATGCTAAGCACTGTACTTTGTATATAGTAAGTGCCTAATAAATTTTTTTGAATGAGTAGCTAAATGAATGAATGACAAGTCCCAAGAATCAATGAGTTTATATTTGTCCATTTTTACATATTGATTGATATACAAAGTAGCATATACTATTATATACTGTTTAATATATAAATTAAGATATTTCACCTAACTCTGCAAGACAGTGAGCTGAGAAGGAAAAGTCAGTAACATTAAAGTCAGCTCACATCTGTGGTTAAAGTTTTGCAAGTGGATTAATTTGGAAGTACTGATTTAATAAATCTTCTAGCCTTGGCCAGGTGGCTCAGCTGGTTGGAGCATTGTCCTGTACACCAAAAAGGTTGTGGGTTCAATTCCCAGTCAAGGCACATGCCCAGTTTGTGGGTTTGATCACTGGTCAGGGCATGTATAGAAGGTAATGGATGTATGCTTTTCTCTCACATCAATGTTTCTTTCTCTCTCAGGTGTGCTCTCCCTTCCTCTCTCTAAAAAGAAATAAAAACATATTCTTGGGTAAAGATTTTTTTTTAAATCCTTCTAATTCTCTCTGCATTTAATTTATACATTAGTAACTTTGCCTCCACTCTGTACCCATGACCATGAATAACCAAAATTTGGCCATACTCACACCCAGGTATGCATTATATTTGTTCATATGTAATAAGTACACTAATTATAACTATCTATAATAATAAAAGCAAAATATGCTAATTAGACCGGACAGCTGAACAACCTTCCGGATGTCCTCCCAGACGTCCTTCCGGACAAAGCTGCGGAGGCAGGGGCTGAGGCAGAGTGGTTAGGGGCGATCAGGCAGGCAGGCGAGCAGTTAGGGGCAATGAGGCAGGCAGGCAGAGGCGGTTAGGGGCAATTGGGCA